GCCCCACCCCTGCACTGACCCTGCCCCTCACCTCTGCACTGTCTCTATCCCCCACCCCTGCACTGACCCTGCCCCTCACCTCTGCACTGCCCCTGCTTCTCACCTCTGCACTGTCCCTATCCTCCACCCCTGCACTGACCCTGCCCCTCGCCTCTGCACTGTCCCTATCTCCCACTCCTGCACTGACCCTGCCCCTCGCCTCTGCACTGTCCCTATCTCCCACTCCTGCACTGACCCTGCCCCTCGCCTCTGCACTGTCCCTATCTCCCACTCCTGCACTGACCCTGCCCCTCGCCTCTGCACTGTCCCTATCTCCCACTCCTGCACTGACCCTGCCCCTCGCCTCTGCACTGTCCCTATCTCCCACTCCTGCACTGACCCTGCCCCTCGCCTCTGCACTGTCCCTATCTCCCACTCCTGCACTGACCCTGCCCCTCGCCTCTGCACTGTCCCTATCTCCCACTCCTGCACTGACCCTGCCCCTCGCCTCTGCACTGTCCCTATCTCCCACTCCTGCACTGACCCTGCCCCTCGCCTCTGCACTGTCCCTATCTCCCACTCCTGCACTGACCCTGCCCCTCGCCTCTGCACTGTCCCTATCTCCCACTCCTGCACTGACCCTGCCCCTCGCCTCTGCACTGTCCCTATCTCCCACTCCTGCACTGACCCTGCCCCTCGCCTCTGCACTGTCCCTATCTCCCACTCCTGCACTGACCCTGCCCCTCGCCTCTGCACTGTCCCTATCTCCCACTCCTGCACTGACCCTGCCCCTCACCTCTGCACTGACCCCATCCCTGACCCCTGCACTGTCTCTACCCCCGGCCTCTGCACTGTCCCCAGCCCCCATGGCTGCCCTGACCCCGGCTCTCAAGGCTGCTGCTCTGTCCCTGCCTGCTGCTTCATCTGAGAGGCATGGTGGGAACGCGGGGATGGTGCCCGCAGCTCTGTGTGGAGCCGGGGGCGGGGCCGGGGCTCTGGGGACGCCCCTGTCTGAGGCTGTGCTCTCGGGTCCGCGGGGTGCCATGCCATGGAGGTGGTCGGGCGCTGGGAGCAGGGCTTCCCCTCCAGGACTCCTCTCTTCAGCAGCAGGGCCAGCTGCCCAGTCCTGGCCCAGGGCACGCCCCTCTCCTGCCCCAGCTGCAGGGTGTAGGGTGCCACCTGGGGATGGCTCTGGGTGACACGCAGCGCTCCCTGCAGCTGCCAACAGCCCAGAGGTGTCAACAGCTGTCCTAGGCCCTTCACGGGACGGCCAGTCCCTGCCCGGACCAGGGCCTGCAGTGCCCTGGGCTGAGGCCCGGGGCCGAGTGGGTGCTGCCCCTGGTGGCCGTTCGCCTCCTCCGCACTCACACAGGGTGTCTGTGTCTGTCTTGGTGACACTCTCGGGCCCGGCCCAGCCCTGGCCAGGGGCCAGCAAGGTGGGGGTACCCACTGCACCCCTCTGGCTGGGAGACAGCACCTGCTGACTGTCAAGGGGGTGGCAGGGGTGCCCTCCTGGACCGTGTGCCGACACTGCGGCGTGACACGGGGTGGTGCTGTCGGTGAGCACCAGGATTCCTTCTGACCCCGGCAGCGGGCGCCGGCCACACCTGAGCCCTGCGCTGTCTTCTGGAGCTCTGCCGGAGCCCTGATGTCTGCTGGCCAGGGGCCTCCCCGGGACGCTCCCAGCAGCACCAGCAGTGGCTCCCCGGGCCTCTGGCGACTCTGCCCTCCGAGAGCTGGGTGTCGCCTGTGTCCTGGCAGGGGCACTCTGGTCTGCAGGGTCTTGGTCCTGCCCTCCGCCCCCGGCCACGGTGAGTGTCCCTCCGGCCACGTCCTGACTTCTGGAGGGGCGAGGACCTTTGTTGTCACTGCCGGGTGTGTTTCGAAGCGTCATAGGAAGGGGGGGCATTTCGTGGACAACCGGACGCTGGACAGTTATCTGTGGAGGCGTGACTGTGGGCTGTGTCCGCGGGGCAGCCCTGGCGGCTGGCATGCTGAGAAGGGGGCCAAGTTCTAGAACTTTCTCTTCTGGGAAATAAGACTGGCTGGCAAAGAGGGGGTCTCTCTCCGAGCCCAGGGTTGCCCTTTCTGCTTCATCTTCAGAACTGCACACTGTCAAGGTGAGGTCAGGGGCCTCCCCTGCACTCCATGGCCCGAGTCCTGTGCCACTGCTTGTCGTGCAGCCCGCTGCCTCGCCCCCTGCAGCCACCCCGGGTCCAGGTGGAGGTGTGGCGGGCACAGAGGCAGGAAGGGCTGAGGCTCTGCAGGAAGCCTGGAAGGAGTCCCCCTGGAGGACAGACTCCAGCCCTGCCCAGGGCGACACTATGCTCAGGGCAGTGCGGCTGCCCCCACGAGCTGCCGCCTGGGACAGCTGCCGCTGTCCTTGACATGGCCCCTGTCCCGGTGTCTGGTCTCCACCAGGCTCCGTCTTTCCAGAGTCAGAGGACGCGTGGGTTTCTTTCCTGGCCTGACACCTCAATTCCAAGCGGTGGACCTTGGCGCAATGGGACAGCCAGCGCCCAGGACCACAGACGACCGTGGCGATGCTGAGGGCCGGTAGGGGCTCGGCTGTGCAGGCCAGAACCCAGGCCAGGGGCGCCTTGAGGCATGTGCTGGCCATGGCGGCTGTGTGCAGCACGCCGGCCTCGGGCCTGTGGACCTTCCTCCTCTGCAGGGTCTTTCTCCTCCGCCCGTCCTTGTGCAGGGGCAGCACGCCAGCCTCGGAGCGGAGGCAGCTGCTCTGCTCGAACTTCTCGCGTAGTTTGGCCAGCACCGAGCTCTTGCCCCGGGCCCTGGGCCGCGCTGCGGGGACCTCCTCACACGCTCTCTCCTCGGCCTCCTTCTCTTCGGCTGCCAAGAACATCTTCAGGATGTTTTTCACGGTGCTCTTCCCAGCGGGGTGGCCCCCCCGCAGCTTCTCGTTCGAGAGGGGCCTCCAGCCCTGCCCGGTGCTGCCGGCCCCGTCCGCGGCCTTCCCCAGGAGCTTGCTGATGGTGGCGCTCACGCGGCCCTTGCCCGGCCCCTGCCCGGCCCTAGAGACCAGCCTGCCCACCTCCCGGGCCCCCTTGAAGTAGGGCTCTCGGCCGGCACCCAGGAACTTGGCCTGCAGTAGCTGGAAGCGCGTGGGCCGCCGCGGGGCGTCCTGGGGCTCAGGCAGCCGGCTCCGTGAGACGTCCCTGCACTCTGCCCTCTGCGGCCCGTGGGCACGATCCTCCGCGTACAGCAGCAGGCTGCCCAGGACGGCGCAGGCAGCCGGGTCACACGCTGCCCTGCTCGCCCGCTTCCTCAGGCCCTGCACGTCGACCGACGCCGAGAGGCTGCAGACCCGGCTGCACTTCGGCCTGCAGGGAAAGCAGCAGTGTCATGTGTCCATCGGGTCCACCCCCGGGGACTCAGACCCTCTCTTCCGGGGCGGGGGGAGCGCCGTCTGGGCTCCACGGGCCTCCCGCCTCAGTTGGGACCACAACTCAGAACCGAACCTGGGCCCTGCGTGGACTACAGCTATTCTTGTGGGCAATTCCATTTCTCAGGAACCCTGAAAGTCCAGCAGGAAAACAAAACGGGGGGCCAAGAGACGGAGTTGGTCAGCCCCAGCCCCACCTTGAGCTGTGGGCGTGTG